ACTCATGACACGAGGAAACTTGTTAGAACACACAAAACCATAGTCATGACACGGTGAAACTTATTAGAACATACGTACAACCATACTCATGACACAATGAAACTTGTTAGAACACGCAAAACCATAGTCATGACACAATGAAACTTGTTAGAACATACATACAACCATACTCATGGCACGAGGAAATTTGTTAGAACATACATACAGTCATACTCATGACACGATGAAACTTGTTAAAACACGCAAAACCATAGTCATGACACGATGAAGCTTGTTAGAACATACATACAACCATACTCATGACACGAGGAAACTTGTTAGAACATGCATCCAGCCATACTCATGACATGATGAAACTTGTTAGAACATATACAACCAAAGTCATGGCACGATGAAACTTATTAGAAGACGCACAAGCATAGTCATAACACGATACGATTTAGTTGAAGACGCACCACCAGTCATGATATGGTTCAAGTTACTAGAAAATACCAAACCGAAGTTATGACACAATGCGAATCATCAAATAAACTGCAATCAATACGTTTTGCAACCGTGTCATCATAAGAAATATGGTTAGACACTGAAGCAAAGTGAGTCACTTTTTTTGGTAAATATTACAAGAAAATGTATTTCTCTCAACAATTATTAGTAGATATACACAATAAGTGTTTGTTTTTGTTGAATTTCGCGCAAAGCTATTCGAGAGCTATATGCGCTAGGCATCCATAATGTAAACGTGATAGCTTAGAAGGAATGCAGCTAGTCAACACCACTCAATACCAACACTTAGGCTACTCTAATCGATTAGTGGAATTGGCCGTATCATTATAACGTCCGCACGGCAGATGATAGGCCTATATACAACACAGCCTTAAAATCATCTCACGATATTATTACTAAAACAAACGTGTAATCAAATATTTATTGTGATTTTATAATAATTATTGTTAGCAGGTGCACAGCTAGAGCCTTATAATCAGAGCACGATACTTATTATGAGAAAACGTAAAACACAGACTTTCTTGTTATGGAATGTTATTCATTATCAGAATACGTTCAGCCTGGTACATATGAAGAAACGAAAGAAATCAGGTTCGTACACACATCATTCTGTTTCTCTCACCTACGTACACTAAACATCATTAGGCTGCACATAAAAATTGAACTTACCTACGAGTTTGCTTTGAATTTTGCGCAAAGTTGCACGAGAGCTATCTGCGCTAGCCGTCCCTAATTTAACAGTGTAAGACTAGAGGAAAGGCAGCTAGTCAACACTTGGGCTACTCTTTCATCAACGAATAGTGGGATTGACCGTCACATTATAACTCCCCGACGGATGAAAGGGCGAGTATGTTTGGTAGGACGGGGATTTGAACCCGCGACACTCTGATTGCGAGTCGAGTGCCCTAACCACCTGGCCATGCCGGGCCTTTATCTATACAAAAAAAAAAAAAGCTTTAGAAATCCAAATTTAAAATATCAACTACATACGTCTAACAGTTATTACGGAAAATGTTTTGTCTGAATAGTGGTGGGTTAATTTTGTGTCACTTCTTTTTTTACAAGTTTTACAATATTAAAATCTGAGGTTAGATTCCTCTAAAACAAAAAAACAATAAAAAGTTGTTCCTCTCCGTTTATTTTCACAATTTGCAATAAATTTAAGAGAAGCAATATATTATACGCCTAGATTGGATCTAAAAATACAGGTATTTTGGATTGGTTATGTAAGTTTGTTCATATTAATAATCCTACAAAGAGTATGCCATGCTAAAGTGGTTCATTTTACTGAATATAGGGGACTCTTTTCGGGGCTTCACACCCGTTTCAGGTTAAGAGAGCTTCTGAAGAATCTTTTGGAACACCAGTAAGAACACGGGTAAGTGAGGTTAATCGTATTCTTCTGAATATTCTGTTTTGGGTGCGATTTATTATTATTGAAATTTTGAACTTTTTTTTTTTACCAACGCCATAAGACAGATATAAGTTTAACACACAAAAAGGTTATAATAATAAAAATTTGGAGCATTACATTCAGTTATTTTTATAAGCTGTTTTGTTATATTTTGATATTTATTTTATGTTATTTATCGTTAATTTTTGACTCTCGATGGATCAGACGTAAGTTTACGCACATACAATCCTAAAATACGTGGTTCAATTCTCCCAATTGACAGAGCACAGAGAGATTCTATTGCGTGGGTTTACGCTTAAACAATTTTTGTGTATCTTATTTATTGTTAAGTTCACTTATTTATTTGTTTTTTATTAAATTGATTACATAAAATATTAATTATCTGGAAAGAAATTTTTAAAACACTTAAACGAAAAATAATTGCTGCTGATATAAATTTTCTGAAACCTTTTTATCGACAATATTAACCGTTTAAACAATCTTTTTACATACACAATGTTAGCAAGTCCTGCCATCTGTTGTGAATACTTGTAAATATCAGTATTGCGTAAGTAAAAGCATGTATACACAATAAAAACAAAATTTAAAACACGTAGAAAGAATCATCATCATCATCATCTCTATAGACAACAGAAATTCGCCTCATCTTCTGAATATGTTTATTTACTTACATGTAATTTTTAGAGAGTTAATTTCTGATAACCAAATTTCTGTATGCAATTTATATTGGCTTCGAAAACACAAATTGTTTAATACTTATAACTGTCTGTATACAGGCCTTAAAAGGTGGCTCAAGGGATGTCATTAAAATAAAACAGGGTTAATGTGAAAATTTCTGTGTTATATATTATAGTCTGGGTTTATTATTAGCTAAAACAACCAAAACGCCAAAACACGTAGTTATCTAACTATGAGTATGTACAAATCGTGTGTACATAAGAGTGTGTACAAATAGTTTTCACCTAAAAAAAGAATCAAAAACTAAAAAATATCATTTTTGAAAAACGACTTGATAATAATGAAATAATTAGGTTTAGCCTCATTTTCTCCGTCTGTCCTCTATCGGTATTTTCTACTCAGAAACTGTTTCAGGTCACTATTTTTTTTGTCTTAGCTTTACGTAAGTTAATATTAAACTCACTTTCCATTTCTGATTTCTTATTAATTCTCATTTTTGTATTTTATTCATATTTGAATTATTAAATTCGTGGATTCTAAAATGATTACTATATTCCAAAGCTAATAAACTAGCGCCATCTATCGTACCAATCCTACAAATTTCACGGTCGAATACTTTTCTAAGATCTGCAACGCTTTCAAAAATCAACATACTGTCCGTTCATTCGAATCTCTCCCTCTGCATGTAAGAATAATTATTTAATCATTAAATATATTTCTAGTAGAAATTATAGAAACACGGTAAGCAAGTAACATGTTTTACAAATTTTGACAACTAATGAATGTCTTTGATACCTCGGCCACGAAGTAAAATTTTCATTTTCAAAATATTTTTGTTGTGTGTTCTGTAGAAGAGAAAATATAATTTGAATAATTATACCTATATGAAATATCAACAAGTATTTCTGTATTCTAGACAAAATCTATGTAGCTACGTAGATATTCCCTCTTGAGGATATATAACTAAATGTAACCGCTAGATAGCGACACCGTCAAAAACATGTGTGAAAACTGATCGATATTAAATACATTTTGTTAGATGAAAGTGACTATGTAATTGTAAAGTTATGAGACTGAAGGTGATTTTTAGAAATTCGATATTAATTGACCCGATACATTTTTCTAATAAATCAATAATCCACACTAGGCTCTCGAAGAGAGAAAAGTTAACATAGATCTGCTGTTTAACAGTTGTGTCCATTTTCCTTAAAATGGCTAGTAATTCGTGAAATTTGTCTTCATATGCTATGTAAGTTATTGAATATACTTAGTTTACTTTTTTTTCTTACTTACAGAATAAAGAAGAGATAACCTGGAACTCTAAGAAGAAAACCAGTTAAACGAGAACATTTTTAGTTATGTTTTAATATGACAACCAGAAGTACATTATAATTATATTTCCATATCTATATATAAATATGATGGGAATAAGTACGATAATTTTGATCATAATAACAATATATATATATATTGAGTATTTACGTTCTTAAATATACAAATTCATACTAAAAAGAAAACTACAATGGAACTAGTTACAACACTGTAATAAAACTTAAACTATTTAAAACCACCAGCACAGAGTTATTACACAAGTTACTTTTCCTATCTGCTATATCTATATTGTTCTGTAGTTTAAAAAACATATTCTATATCTTTTGCTCCGTTTCTGTATAAAACGTTTCAATTTGAAATAAATGTATTTATTATGTGGTTTACTTGTTAAGGGATTTACGTCTAAGTTGAAAAAACAAACGCTCTTAGTTTTAACCAACAGACTTATGAACTATCAGTATTTCTCACAAGGCGCGTTCTTTCAGGTGCACAACTGTTAGTTGTGTTGATACAGTAACTAACATTTCTATTTTAAAATTACTTCCAAATAAAATTATAAGTCTGTAACTTTTAACAGAGAAAATCAAAGCCGGGTGTTAATTGATTTTGAATTATTTTGGGAATATAGAAGCATTATAGAAATGAAAGAGTTCTTTAGTAGCTCACTGCATCTATCTCGAAATATTTTACGTTCAATATCTCTAGCAATTTTTGACTGCACGTGCAAGTTGAATTGCAGTAGAGGGTTGTTTGGTGCTGTCATCTATTGAGCAGCAAAGGAACAAAAGTCAGTTTGAATTTATATAATTAAATATTGAAAAAGTAGTTTCATGTGCTGAGAAGAGAGCGTATGAATATTAATTACTACAGTGTGCTTACGTACATTTGTAAAAAAATTACCAAGTGATCTTCGTTTTATTAATCCAACTCAAAGTCAATTCCCATATACAAGACGTTTGTTAGTAAATTACTTCGCTTTGATTTCTCAAATAAAACGAATAGTTCAAGAGAATTGTGATGAGGAAAAACACATGTTGAGACAGTAGCCCTTCATAGTATCTTTAGTATACAAAGTTTAGGATTTCAAATACAGTTAGTGGATTACAATTTGCACAGCCAATGACAATGTCCCATTTGATACATTATATACTTTAATATAAACACAAACACACACACAAGTTTGTAAGTATGATGTTCAGTATTCACAATAACGAAAACAGACTGGAACACTAGCGAGGATAATTATTTTTTTTCTTCTAAACTGTTATTGGAATGGATTTTCTATTAGTATATTTCCGTGAAACGCTGTTTGATTACGTTTAATATATTCTGAATGATTCTTACTTTGAAATGTTTTAAATGTTTTCCACGTATACTTTTTAAAAGCGTGGTTTATGCGAAGAATATAGTGGCGACGTAGAATTACACGTCGTTATTTAAACACTTCGATGTATAAATACGTAACTTGCCGTGAATTAAAGCAAGCCATAAGTCGCAATGTATATTTTCAGTTTAGTCGTTGTCCAAAGAACGCCACAAATGAAATTATACTTTGTAAATATAAAGTTAAAACTAAAATATTCATTCATTTCGATAAATACTATCAATTATTGTGCGAATGATAAACGATAATTATTCTATGAATAATTTTGTTTTCTTACGGTTAAATGAAAGGTTTTATGCACAGCGGTATGTCTACGGACTTACGTCGCTAGAAAACAGGTTTCGATACCCGTGGTGGGCAGAGCACAGATAGCCCATTGTGTAGCTTTATGCTTAACTTCAAACAAACGATTAAAAATTAATCTCAATACACTTCTGAAACTTATCGCCAGTTTTTGATATTATTCAACTCTTGCTTTGCTTTGTAGAAGTAATACAAGTTCACTTAGCGATACAGAGTATCGTTAGAAAAAGAGAGAAAGAGAAATAGGCCTCCCAGTGGCACAGCGGTATGTCTGCGGACTTACGTCGCTAGAAACCGGGTTTCGATACGCGTGGTGGGCAGAGCACAGATAGCCCATTTTCTGTGGAATTTATTACATAACTAATGTTCTACCTGTACTACTTTCTCAACGCCTGATTTTATATGTTTGTTTCTAAGCACGAAGCTGCACGATGGGTTATTTCCGCTATATCTACTGCGACTATCGAAACTCGAATTTTAGCTTTATAAGCCCTCAGACTTACCACTGAGCCAGATGGGGATGGGGATATTTTCTATTAATATCACAGTAATTGTATGGAAGTATACTCGTAATTTCAAAGAGTTTTATTTTTTCTTTGGCCAAGATTCGAATACGAGGCGTATTGCATACCAGAATTACTACCATACAGACTAAAATAAGGTGTTATATTGGTTACTTAGGCTGTTGGAAGGAAATCTTTCTCTCTCTCTCGTCTCCCTCAGGCCTGGTATGGCCAGGTGATTAGGGCGCTCGACTCGCAGTCTGAGGGTCGCGGGTTCGAATCCCCGTCACACGAAATATACTCGCCCTTTCAGCCGTGAGGGCGTTATAATGTGACGATCAATCCAACTATTTGTTGGTAAAAGAGTAGCCCAAGAGTTGGCGGTGGGTGGTGATGACTAGCTGCCTTCCCTCTAATCTTACACTGCTAAATTAGGGACGGCTAGCGCAGATAGCCCTCGTGTAGCTTTGCGCGAAATTCAAAACAACCAACCTCATCTCCCTCTCTCTCAAAAAATAACAACAAAAACTCGGTTCATATTAATAATCCCAGAGCTCCTCAGTAGCTCAGCATTAAGCTTGAAGGCTTATAACGTTGAAACGGGATCTCGATACCTGTGATGAACACATCACAAATGTCCCATTGTGTAACTTTGGGCTTAACAACAAACAAACAAACAAAATTAATCCCAGAAATACAGAAAAATTCCAATCTGAATTCAAAATGATGGGTTGAAGCCAAAATCACGTTCAGTTGTATGAATTTTTCAATCCTTTTTATAAGTATATATAAAATATATATTAAGGTAATGCTTCATATTACAGTACTTAAGTGGTAAAATGAAATAAATTCATAACCTTAAATTCGAAAATTTACAACCCAGTTTTATAACAATAATAAATAATCATGTCTTTATTAATCATTAAAGCATTTCTAACTAATTAATAATTAAGAGTGATTAATTATTTTATTATCAGAATGTAACCCATTCCTTGCCAGAGATAAACCCTATTGTAATATACGAGTAGCTTATTATTTTCTTAAATCATTAGTTGACATCGCATTTCGAATAGAGGTCTATTCTATTTTTACCTAAGACATATTTTGATAAATCGTATTTGTAAAAACATTTAATTTTACATTCATCTGAAATTATTTTAAAACCATTGTTCATTACACATGATAAATGTGATCTCTTAGCACATTTTCGAGATCTTCGCCAAAGCACTGTTAAGTCTTGTCTAATAGTAAATTTTGAAATGAAGGTCTACCAATGGTAGAATTATACTGTTGTTTTCTTGGAGAAATGTAGCAAGGACACTATAGTGTAAGGTGTACTAATGACACTTCTTATTATGATTGATCTTCGAAGTGTCGATCAATAAGTGCTGCTTTGTTGATTTTTTTCTTTCGTTTTTTCAGCCTACGCCGACAAGCAAAATGAAACATGGAGGTGTTTGGTTCAATTGCATTATCTTGCGTTGCGCGATCACTTCTCCTCCCAATAATTCAACCAAGCTATCAGAGACGTAGTTTCACTCCACCCGAAAGTCTCGCGCAATCCCAGGAGACTTTGAACCACTTATGAGTATGCTTTATTCTTCCGCGCTTGCACATACTCCCTCAGAGTAAATTTCTGGATGATTATTGAAACGCGGATATGTTTGCGTCTATAATTCTCCACAAACGGAGCGCAAGAAATGTTTTTCGTAAAATATTCGTGCTTGCGAAAATTTACTTATCTTATATAGACTTAAGTACAAGAGCGAAGACTAAATTAATTTCAAAAATCAATTATAATTATACATAAATTCTACGTATTTGAAGTTCAAAGGCAAGCACAAGGTTGTGAGAGTGAAAGAAAACAACAAATCTTAAAGTTTCACCATTTGATAGAAATTGTAGCAAATGATTTTAATTCTTCAATAAGGTACTAAAATGTTATAAGATCAAAGTAAAGAATAAAATACATTCGGTTTTAGGGCTTTAGGCCCTAGGCAACAAATCTACAACATTATAGTGTAATTATTGTACACGTGGACTCAAACTACATGACTATTTGCTAAAGAACTTTCAATTACATGTCGTAACGCTGAAATAATTAAAATCGCTTTGAATTTTATGGTGGTCTAGCGATATTCTTAGAAAGCGGTTTTTCTGTATATTTTGTAACCGAATACTTACTGATATTTAGCTTTGAATCTTATGGTAGCCTCTTGATATTCTCAGACAGTGATTTTTTAATGTATTTTGTAACCGAATACTTACTGATGATTTAGCTTTGAATCTTATGGTAGCCTCTTGATATTCTCAGAAAGTGATTTTTCTATGTCTTTTGTAACAGATTGTCTACTAAACAGATTGTATTGAATCTTATTGTAGCCCATTGATATTCGCAGAAAGGGTTAGTTTTCAATATTTTGGTATCTAACCCTTAAAGGGCTTGGTCTTTGATATATTGGTAAATTATCAATATTTTAATAAACTGGTTTTGATAACTGATCATAAAGGCGATAATTAATTACATTATAAATATCAGTCCATGTAAAAAAAAGACATGTAATTTTTTCAAATAATATTGTAAAATGGGGATAAGCACGCCACTTTACTTATAAGTTTGTAATTTATTTTCTCTATTGATTTTCTGTTAGGATCAGGCGTGACCAAATGTGTCTGGAGTCTGAATTCGCTGGTTCGCATCCTACCACTACAAAAACTCGTTTCATATTTTGGAGTTGTATGTTTTTTATAAGAGTAACAGTCACATTCCACTACCCCGTAATGCAAAAGTAGCCCAAGAGTTATCTAGAGGAGACAAGAGTAGTTCGTGAGCTGATTTCCCTTTAGCCTTTTCTTC